ACCAATGAAGAGTGGGATTGACCGTCACATTATACCACCCCACGGCTGACAGGGCAAGCATGTTTGGTGTGACAGGGATTCAAACCCGCGACCCACAGATTGCGAGTTGAGTGCCCTAACCACCTGGCCATGCCGGGCCCATAGAGACAATAAATGGAAAAATAAAGTTTAGAATATTCCAATATTTAATAGTTAATGTATTATGCTTGCAACTTAACAACTAGAAAAAACATTAAAAATTAAACTTTTGACATGTACTTCAATTATATTTCTAGAGCTGGTTGTCCAGTTGATGAGCTGTGGAGCAGTTCTGACAAGCCCACTTAACAAGTTTATTTTTGTGCATTTGGAGCTTAGCTGCTTAATGTTTGTTATTCTATTACTGTGGCATTTACTGGCAATAAAACTGAATAAAACCATGGTATGAAACCTTCATCAATAGCTTATGTCTAGTCCCCTAATGTGAAATAGCATTTAAAATACTATATGACCCAGAAACCACTAGAACAAACCCTCACAAGTCTCTGTAACAGAGAAGCAACCAAAACAAAAATACTGTAAAACAAGTCCATGAATATATTAAAAAGAAATTAGGATGTGTCAAGAAAATTATTTTTTACCTCTATTTCCATACTTATTTTACAAATTTGCATACCATAACCAACTCTTCTCTAATTTCACATTGAAGCTTTGGTCACTCCCATCTAGTTTGCCACGTGCTTTTAGAAGCTCCAACTCAATACGTCGTCCTTGTTCCATAGTCGTGAATGCTCTTTCCAAAAGACTTATCCAACCATTAGGTATTATCATACACCTCCTCCATTCTGATACATCCAAGGGTACATCCTGTACTAATGCTCCCAGAACTTGCTCATAGAAACGTCCTTGGGACACAAGAGAGTGTTTGAGTGGAGCTCCATCTTTTCCCAATTCCAAAGGTGGCTCATAAGACAATAATACACCCACTGTAATGTACCAGATTTATGCATAATCAGTTTATCACCTTATAACAACACATAAAACAAAATATCCAATTCAACAGAATGCCTGAAGCTAATCATACAAAAATAAAACAACTATTTAAAGTGAATTCTTAGAGGATTATATTTGGTAAATCTTCATAGGAGAATTTCCAAAAGTTTTAAGATTTGAATTTGGAAAATGAAATAACCAAACTGTAAAATATCACTACATTAAACAACATAACAGATGTAGTGTGGTTGACATATTGCCATATATTCTTCTTTACTTTCAGTCATAAAGTACTTTACACTATTAAAAAATATTCTATGAACAAAAATTCAAATAACACTTCAGTTAGCATTACTAACTTCAATATTCTTCGAAGTAACTTGATCAAGAAACACACTTAAAAAGTTACAGAACTCACTCTTTCTAAACTTCATCTAGGCTTTAATATCAAGTGTTCAAATCTTTAAACAAACATATCTATTTATTCTAGGAAAAATATTAGGCAAAAATATTGTTCGTATTTAAAGATTGTGTATGTGTATTTGAAATAAATGGTTATAAAAAAAATCTGGTATACATTTTAGATATTTATAACTACCAGCTGAATCAACAGTGTGACTTCAGGCCTCACATTTGTGAATCAGAAGACTTGCTTATATACAGAGGTTTCATTCGTCATTGGCCCATGCTAAGATCTTATACAAATTAAATGTGACAACTACATCACAATCTCCAAGGGCATGTCCAACTACACAAGATTTAGTGGGTAATATGAAATTTGAGTGTTCTTTTATACGTGTTATCAGCTTCCTTTTCATAGATCCAATATAACCTTGCTGATAGCAGGGACAAGTAAATTTGTAAACTATTAAGGATGACTGCAATAAAAAATATGGTCCTTAAATTTAAAAAATTGTAGGCAACAATTATGTTTGAAAACACTTTAATTGTGCTTGTGAGCATACCTTATGAATGATCTGTCTCAACTGATTCTCAGTAGTTAAATAATATTTACCCATAAAAGGTAAACAAATAACGACAGGGTATTTAGACACTTCAATTGGAGTGATATCAAACAAGTTTCTCTTATTTAAATATCAACAAAGCATGTTATCAATCATTTCAATAAGAAAGTTATCATTTTCCTAATCTGAAAATGTATTTCCAAACATAGTTACCTCCACTGACGCTTATAGCTATTTCTCGATCTTCATCTTTGCCATCTTAACATCATGTTTGCTTGCTCCAGTCTCTATACCTCACTCGACTGCCCTCAGCAATATCTAATTTGCAAAACTTTACACCGGCCCTCACACACACTCTATGCAGGTACTGTATATAAGCACTGTATGGTGACAATATAATCACTTTTTTCAGACTTACCTCATTCCGGTCACTAACACTGGCTCTTAGTGGGGAGAATGTCAGCAGAGGTAAGTATGTATGAAAATACATTTTCAGATTAGGAAAATGATAACTTCCAAAACATACATACCTCCGCTAACACTTGTAGATAGAATCCCACATTGAGAAGGCAGATGGGCCGGTGAGGGCATAATTAATCTAGAAAGCATCTGTATAGAACAATAGTGTACCATGAGAAGTGGTACCCAAGCAGGGAAAAGAAAGGAGCAAGACATAGTAGAAACCGTTACACAGGAATTCATACATGTATTTTTTTGTTCTTGTTGAACCGCAAAAGAAAACAACAGAATATCAGAAACAGGAAAAAAAACCACCAAACTACTGTCAAAATGCTTCAAAAGAAAATGTGAACCAAAAAACATAATTCCTAGCACTAGCGCTTTGTCAAGAAAAAGTGATTATATTGTCGACATACAGTGCTTATATACAGTACATGCATAGAGGGCATATGAGGGCCAGTGTAAAGTTTTGCAAATTATATACTGCCAAGGACAGTCAAGTGGGATATAAACACTGTAGCAAGCAAACACGATGTTTAGATGAAGATCAAGAAATAGCTATAAGTGTCAGCAAAGGTATATTTTGTAACATATTTTTATATAAAGATTCTTTGTGTATACTTTTGTATATGATATTCTATATATTTGATATTCTAAATGTATAATGAATCAAAATTTGTGCTAAATTCTCTTCAAAAATGTCCCAATTAAAACTTTCATAATTGAAATATAAACATGTAAATGTTTTCTTATGATATATTTCACATTGGAACTCTCCATTTTTGTTACAAATTAATATGTCCAAAAAAGAAAGTTTATGATCTTGTTGATGTTCTGAAGAAAGCTTTATGCTGTTATATCTACTATTTAGGTACTGTAAAAATTGAAGGGCTTGATCAGAATTCCTAAAAATAGTAGCATAGAGGTTTGAACTGTTGAAGACAATTTTCCAGCCACAGTGACATAGAAACAATTTAGCTAAGGATGGGACAAGTCTTGAACTCATAGCAACTCCCTCAATATGATCACAAAGCTGATCATTTTGCAAAAAGTGTGAATCTTTAGTGACAAATGTCATCAGTTTCACAAAGATCAACTTATGTATAAGCAGAACATTGTAATTTTTTCTGAAACACTTATTCCACACTTATTGTGTCTTGTATTGTCTCTTACAGTGCTATATTGATATGCGAAGACTCAACACCCAAATTCACAAGCTGTACATCAATATTGAATTTAAGTTGATGAATTTCTTAGGAAACTACAAAACTGCCTGGCAGGTTGTAACAAATGTTCTCAGACCATACAACCAGCCAAGGCATGGTTATAGGTTCTAATACTGGACATAATAGGTCTTAAAGGACATCCATCTTTATGAACTCTTGGCACTTCATAAAAAACACCAGGGTGACTACCTGATAGTCTAACATCCAAATACTGTTTTTCACTAAGTTTTAGCAAAAACCTCTGCAATGTACCTTCATTCTTATCAGTAGGATCATGATTCAATTTCACAAAGTTAGTACTATCATAAACAATTGTTTCAACTTTCTTTATATAGTCAACCTTATCCAAAATTAAGACATAATTACTCTTATT